GCCGGCTGGAGGCGGGGGAGGGAGCGACCAGAAAGCCCTGTCTCGCTGGAGTAGGGTGACCAGACAGCAAGTGTGAAAAATCGGGACAGGGGGTGGGGGGTAATAGGAGCCTATATAAGAAAAAGACCCAAAAATCGGGACTGTCCCTATAAAATCGGGACATCTGGTCACCCTACGCTGGAGGAAGGAGACGGGGTGTGTGGCTCAGTTCCCATCCCCGCTTGTTTCTACACCACCGCCGCTGCATTGGAGAGGCTGGGGTGTGTGCGGGACACGCTTTAGCGGGACCCCCCCCACCCACACACACCCCTCGGAGCTGGTCTGAGTGTAAATCCCATTCAAAGGGTTTCCCTTGAAAGTTTCTCCCCCGCTGCCGATTGCGCTAGATCTTCCCCCGCGGCGCGCCTGGCCCCGGATCGGGGAGGGAGAGGTGAAGGGGGGACATGGCAGCAGGCGGACGCTGGGTGTAGGAGGTGGCAGCACAAACACGTCTACGGGAGGCAGGCGCCCTCCGCTGCGGCCCCGATCCTGCTTCCCGTTGGCTTCGCCGGCAGCAGGATCCAGACCCAGCCGAGGGAGATGCCCCCGGACCCCCGCTGCTTTCGGTGCACGGCCCCCCGGGGGCAGGCGCGGAGGTTTCTCAGTCCGAGCTGGCCTCGGTGCGTTTGTGTGAGGTGCATCGCTCAGGGCCCCTTGCGCGCTGCATTTCTGCCCGGCTGAGCTCTGTGACAGGCCAGGGGCACCCCCCGGCCTGCAGCCCCGACCAGGCGCCGAGCTGCACTTTCAAATGCAAAACCCTGGCACCGGTGTCACCTTAGCCGGACTTTGCCGCCTCACATAACGTGCCAGGAGGTGTCCGGGCTTCCCAGCGCCAGGCACTGGGTTCTGAATGAGAGAGGCTCCTTCCGCCTCGGCACACGCCCGGGGGAATCAGAAGTGACAGGATCCGCAGCCTGTGGTGGCACGAAGGCTCCGCTCTCAATGAAATAATGATGTTCACTGACATATAGCGAGTGCCTCCACGCGGAGCCATGGGGGAGCATGATGCTAGCTTCGCCTCGGCTCACCCCGCCTCCCGGCTGTTAGCTAGCGGCTTCCAGGACTTGCACATCTTTTAAGAACGACGCTAAACAGTAGGACATGTGAGGTTTGTATATTTATTCTTGCGGGTTCTCCCTCCCTCCCCGATCTGTCTTATCAGGGTTTCACTCCCTGCCCAGCGGTTAATGAGCTGGAAAGGGCTCTGTCAGATCTCCGGCGGAGTAATTAAGCAGAATGGGTTTAGTGTGCCCTTCGCCAGTGAGCAGGGAGTTAGCCAGCCACACGCCAGTCCCTCCACGGCTGTTCTGCGCAGCCCAAAATGTATTTACCGATTGTCCGAATTAAACAGGGGATTTGGAATTTGATCAGAGTCTCTTTGTTTCCCTTATCTCAACACAGTTTGTCCTCATCTCTCCGCTCCCCCCACACCCCTCATTTTTTTCTCTTTTGGCCACTGCTTGGGACCGAATTCCATCAAGAAAAGTTTCTAACCACTTCAGAGGGTTCCTTAGACCTCTGAGGTCCGCGCTGTTTGTTTTATTAATAAAAATGTATATGCACTAGCTTCTCTTTCCCTGGAAACACAGACACTGAAGGGAGGAGGGGGGCATCCCCAGCTGCTACAGAGCGGTGTATTTTATTAGACAGTAGGCACAAAATGATCTGCTAAGAGCCATGTGGGTGTTTTTTAAAACCGCCACCCCGTCTTAAAAACATACGAACTTTTTCAGATGCAAAAGTAGGTTGCTTTCCTCCCTTGCCCATTCAAACCTTATTTAATTAGACTTGGTAAATGTATCTACAACCGAGTGGCTATAAATTATTTATGCCTTTCTGGCTGGGTTGGGGAAAAAAACTCCAGGGAGATATGTTCTGCTTCAAAACATTAAAAAAAAAATCTCCCGAAAACTGTAATGCAAAGGCTTTGTAGTTTTTTTTAAAAAAAAAACACCTTTTGATTTATTCCATATGTGACATCTGAACACAGCCAAAGCCTGTCTCCGTGTGAGTGTGTTTCAAAACATAGACACCCAGACCTCAGCACACTGCATCCAGGGAGAGAAAAGTTGTGTTTCCAGCAAGGGGAGAGAGTCCTGGCTCTAGCTAAGCAAACCTGCTGTGGAATTGTGTAACGGGAAGAGAGGACGCCTCATCCCCTGCCTGCTTTCAAAGGCAAATGATTAACATGTACAGCTGAGGAAATTAACTTTTGTGTGTCTTACCTGCTTCGCCTAGCACTCCGGATCCAGCCAAGGACAGAGCTAAAAATCCCCAAACGAGAGGCAATGTATCCATGTTTAGCGGGGAAAGGGTGGTTTTCTCCCCCGCTGGGTTTGCTAGGGGCTTTCCTCGGGAACTGGAAGTCACGCTGGTCTTCACCCCGCACCTTAGAAAATTTCCTCGGCAAATGTTCCGAGTTGTCTTTCGCTTCTCCTCCTCCTCCTCCGTGCCTTGGCGTCCTGCCTTGCCCCCGCTCCGCTGCCTTGTACAAACCCACTAGCAGGAGCAGAAGCCCAGGAACTCCTTTAATGCAGAAGCGAGGGAAGCCGGCTGCTGCTTCCCCTCCACCCCCAAAATCTAGTCTACAAACCGCGCGTGCCTGCAAACGCGCGTGTGTGTGTGATCGCCACAGTCCCTCAGCGGGTCATTTCCTTCAACCTACCATCGCCCCCACTTCCCGAGAGCCAGCGGCAGAAATGACTCGCCCGGGGCATCGCACCGCCCCGGGGCTGGAGGCTGCAGGGTGGCGCCGCGGCGCGTGGTTTCCCTGCCCTGCGTGGCTGTGGCCGGGGCTCCGGGCAGTGGCACTGGGAGAGGCGGAGGGTTCACGTGCCGCTGGCCGGGCCGCGAGTGGTGTGCGCGCGTGTCTCCCTAGCCACACACACGCACACACCCCGCTCCCGCCTGCGTCTCTCTCTGGAGAGGTTCAGGCGCGCAGCGCTGGGAGCCTGCCTGTGCCTCCCTCCCGGCTCCTCGCAGCCTTTTCAGGCCGCCGCGCGTGCATGTCAGCGCGGAGAGGCAGAGCTATCCGATTACACGCTCGCCCAGGGCCCGCCCCTTCTGTGTTCCCCAGGAAAGCGGCCACCCGGCGGGCACCCAGCGCGCAGCCAGCCGCCAGCCGCACCGCCCCTCCTCTCCCGACAGGGCTGGAGCAGACCTAAGACTTGCCCCATCCAAGAACCACACCTGGGTCCCCTCACTGACCCCAAGCCCCACTCAAGGGGGGAGGGGGAGGTTACTAACCAGGTTAGTAACTAACTAGCTACTAACTAGCTAACCAGGACCTGGCCCCTGGGAGCTAGTGGACATCACAGCTTCCTCCAGCAACCCCCTGGGCTCCCAATGCGCCCCTCCCTCCCAATAGCAGCTACAGGCTGGAGCCATACTAGCTACAACATAACAGCCACACTGGGTCAGGCTAATGGTCCATCTAGCCCAGCATCCAGTCTCCCGCCAGTGGCCAATGCTAGATGCTTCAGAGGGAATGAATCAAACAGGGCAGTTATCAAGTGATCTGTCCCCTGCCCTCCAGTCCCAACACCTGGCAGTGAGAGGCTTTGGGACATCCAGAGCATGGGGTTGCATCTCTGACCATCAGGGCCTATCCGCCATTCTTCAAATAGCTGAAAGGATTTTGCTCAAACTCGCCAGCAAAATAAATACATACAGAGCCTCTAGGCTGAGACCGAGCATAACAAATTTTAGTCCCCAAAAAGAGAATTCCTCACAAAGATATGGGCATATGAAGATGCAGGGACTGCTTTGATGTAACCTCAACTATACCCAAGGTTAGCAGGCACCCAATACAATGCTGCAGCAGATGAACAGATGAAGCTAGGTCAACGTCCAAAGAAAGATAACGGTGCAGCAGCCTTGAATTCATCAGACATTCTGATTTAAATCAAACCAAAACACTCAGAAGTTAATTATACTTTTCCTTATACCATGAAAGAAAAAAATGTTGCACTGGCTGCTAAATAATCACATAATTAAAATACGTATTTTTCATAATGATCAGGAAAGCATTAATTGATGGTTAGATTTTTTTTTAAATAACTACACATGCTGATGTGTAAATACTTTTTTGGAATTAAAAATTTTTGTGGGATTTTAGCTAGGTATAAAATGGTCAGTGCAAGGGAAAACAAACAAGCAAAAAACCAGAAAGAAGCCAGTTGGAAAAGAGGAGAAACGAAGACAGGAAGAAGTGATGAAACTTTTATCCTGATGGGAGCACAGTCACAAATGTTCCAAGAAGCAGACAATTTATGCGAACTAACTATTTTTAAAGTAAGATGGGGGAAAAAAATGTTTACATAGAGCCCCAGGCTAACAGTTTCTGAAACACATCGGCTGCACCTTGTATTTTAGGATGAGCTTGTGGGTTCCAAGTTGTCTTACTTCAATAAACATTCATTACTGCATTATCACAAAGGCTGTAAATAGCCAAAATGATTAAAATAATGACACAACACCAGGGCTAGCCTGGCTTTTGGTGTGACTCCATGCAAAAGTAGGACACGGAAAAAATGTCAGATGGGGAAGCATCAGGACAAGAATTTCTTACGCCCCTGGGCAATTCTGAGGGCAAATTGCTTCCTCTCTACATCTGCTGCTGGAGGGGAAAATCCAGTGCTTCCATAACATAAGAATCCAAGTGACTGCTTCCTTCGCCTATGCTTAAGGCCATCCGTATATAATACAAATTAAATAAAACCGAGAAAATAAAAAATCTCTTCCTCATCCCATATATATTATATCACGTAGATGGCAATGATAGCTACATGAAGAATCCCATTCATTCTACAACCATTAAACTGCTGTTATTTCACACCTTTGACTGTTTCACCTGCATTCATCTCCCTGCTCTGCAGCAGGACTTTAACATTCCAAACTTCAGAGCAACTTTTAAAGTCATCTTTAAAAAAAAAAAAAAAGAATGCCACAAAAGTCAATTTAACTACTGCCTCTTGAGGAGGGGGGGGTACCTATGCCTACAGAAGAAGAAGAATAGGTAGTGTCTTCACTAAGTGCTACAGTGGTGCAGCTGCATGAGTGCAGTTGCAGTGCTGAAAGTGTAGACAAGCCCTGAGAGCTGGAATTTCAGACTAAGAGGACAAAGTTAGAGTGAACTCTACAGTCTGATATGCAGAAAAGCTATTTATAGAGTCGTTTAACCAGTCTAGGCTATATTTCCCAACACTCACAAGTTTGTATATGGCAATTTAAGGTAACCTCGGTTTACCTGAGGCAGATGGACTGAAAAATACCAAAATGCTCCAATTATAAAAAAGTTGGTCACTAAAAGGCAACAGAAACAAAATACATAATGTCAAGTATCAGAGGGGTAGCCGTGTTAGTCTGAATCTGTAAAAAGCAACAGAGGGTCCCGTGGCACCTTTAAGACTAACAGAAGTATTGAGAGCATAAGCTTTCGTGAGTAAGAACCTCACTGCATCTGAAGAAGTGAGGTTCTTACCCACGAAAGCTTATGCTCCCAATACTTCTGTTAGTCTTAAAGGTGCCACAGGACCCTCTGTTGCAAAATACATAATGGGTGCGTGCGTGTGGGGGGGGGGTATAAAAGTTTCATCAGAATTTGTTTAGGGTGATGGGCATAATTTACTTGAGTTCCACCGCTTATAATGTATGTGTAATTTTATCAATTCGTGCCAATAGAATCTTTACAATACAATGTGAACACACATACACAAATGGGGACTGATTCCGTTATCATGGAAATCAATGAGGCCCTGATCATAAATGACAGGTGCCTAACTTTCAGGTTTAGGCGCCAAAGTCCCACTTCTAGGCTCCAATGCCATCCACAAGACTCCTGCCAAACCCTATACATGCCTAAACTGACTCAGTGCCTATGTTCTTGCCGTGAAAGTTCTCTCAGAGCCTAAGTTCCTGTCGCTGGGTATGTGCACTGCTGCCTCTCACTAGATGTTCATCCGAAGAAGTGGGCTGTAGTCCACGAAAGCTTATGCTCTAATAAATTTGTTAGTCTCTAAGGTGCCACAAGTCCTCCTGTTCTTCTTTTTACTAGATGTTCGGACACCTATCTGCCACCTAAAGCCCCAGAGCGATTCACAAACCTGG